ACCAGGAAGTTAAGGTAATTTAACTTACACTTTGCAGCTTTAAACTGCATTTCATCTATACAAGTTACATACATACAAAATACTCTAAATTTTTGCAAGCTAACCAAGTTTAACGAAAAATTTGCATTTAATGAAAAATTGCTAGCACACGTGCATCCATTCATCACATCCATCTCAACTGAATATATGTGCACAACGTGCAAGCAGTTGCTTCCGCTTTCTTTATACAAGAACTTGAAACCGAAAGTGGAAGGTTGTTTTGTAGAATACAGAGAATATGAGCAAAGAAAAAATATCCGTTGTTTATATGTATATGCATCCATACTTACATGAAAGTATTACAAGTATTGAGAATAGTTTTAAGTGTTGGTATATTTTAATGAGCTTGGCTTAATAGTTTTCACATCCCTAGTTACCTTTACTGCCAAAGTTAATATATGAATGTGTGAAAACAGTAGCTTAAATAATAAAAAAAAACAAAATGGAAATAAAATAAAATAAAATAAAATAAAGTAAATAAAATAAAATAAATCGAATTAAAATAAAACATAATATAATATAACAAGAAAAAAATAAAATAAAAAAATTAATAAAATAAAAAAATATAATAAAATTTTATAAAATGAAATAATATAAAAAAAATTGGACAAAAATATATAATTATCTGAAATCAAATAAATAAAATTAAAATATAAAGGAAATGAAAATGAAAATGAAAATGAAAAAAAATAAAATAAAGTTAAACAAAATTAAATAAAATAAAATAAAATTAAATTAAATAAAATAAAATAAAATAAAATAAAATAAAATAAAATAAAATAAAATAAAATAAAATAAAATAAAATAAAATAAAATAAAATAAACTAGATTAAATAAATAAAGTAAAATAAAATAATATAAAAAAATTATGGGAAATCAAATTGAATAAAATGAAATAAAGTTAAATTTATTTATATAAAATAAACTAAAATAGAAAAATTGTTATTTAATATAAAAAATAATATAAGCTAAAGCAAAATAAAATTAAATTGTGTTAAATAAATTAAAATAACAAAACATAAAATATATTGAAACAAAACAAAATAAATTAAAATAATAGTAAATTAAATTTAATTAAATAATATAAAATGAAAAAAACTAAGATAAATTAATGAATTTAAATAAAATAAATCTAAATTAAATAGAAATAAATTAAAACTAAATTAAACGAAATTAATTTAAATAAAATGAAATTAAATTGAATAATATAATTAAAGTAAATTCAATTGAACTATTATTTTATAATATAACAAGAACTAAATGAAATTAGAAAATATCGAGCAACATAAACAAAAGTATTCAAAACAAAATAGACTTAAAATATTTGGAAAAAAAATGAAAAAACTTAAACGTAAATGACATGAAGAGAATGTAAAAAAACAAAGTGAAATAAATTTAAGTAAAAAAACTAAAAACGGAAAGTAAAGAATGCAAAATGAATTAAATACCAGTAAAAAATGTACAACAAAATAAAAGGATTTAAAAAATTAAAAAGATAGAAAATAAAGTATATTAAAATAAGATCAAATAAAAAAATAATAATAAAATAAAAAAACAATTAAATAAAATTAACATAAATAAAAATATAATATAAATTTAAGCTCTGCTCAAATGAACTAAAGTTTTTTCTTATTTTTAAAAGTTTCTTTTATTGTTTACTCTCTGTTCAACATTTATTAGGACCTAAAAGCGTTATTTTCAGCGTTGATACACAATTGATGTACTGATAAGCGTGTATTTAAAAGTAATTTTACGATTATTTGTAAGCAAGTTTTTTGCTATTATTAGTAATAAATATAATTGCATAAAGCAAGCGCTGTACTACATCAAACAAAGTTAAAAGATTTTTTAGTTCATAATTCAGTTGTAGATCTAAAAACTATTTATTGTCATGTTTTTCTTTTTTTCATTTTTGATGATTTTAATAAACTAAATAAGAGCAGCAAAGGCATGGTCTTCAAGATTTTCTTACTAACTGCAAATAGATGTATGTTGTACTTTCTATGGAAATTAGGTCACGTTGCAATACAGAGTTTACATGGGTAGTATGTGTAAAATTGTAAAGCATGTGAGTAGTGAAATAATATATATATATATATTTATATATATATATATGTACATATATTATATACTGTATATAGTAATGCAACAATGCATGGTTCATATTTTTATTTATGGAAATTTATTATTGAGTTCAGAACAGCTTTTAAAAATACATCAACCATCGTATTCTGTGTAAGTGGCTTGGAATTCAATGTAGAATTCCGTGATTGTTTTTATTTATTTACTGAGTTTTCATATTTTGACTCAAAAGCATTTTATAGCTACCAGAGGCGACTAGCCAAAAATAAAATAAACACTAATTGAATTTACTTGTACATGTATGTATAAATGTATGTGTACAGTTTCCCTAACTAAATTATGATTTTAATCCCACAAGCTTTTAAATTTATTATGTTGTGTGGAAATTGAGTAAAATCATATTGATAGAGCAAAGTCAATTAAATGTTATACTATACTAGTGTAATCACAGTATGTAGGTTGGGAGTAAATCAATCACTTTAAATTCATGCAAGAATCGAGTACTTATGTAACAAAATTCATGCAAATGCACTTTCGGCAGAATACACTCAAGTTGCGTATACGCCCCGGTGCTCCCAATACAATACAATTGGAATTTTGAATATACTCTTATATTTATACATATATATATATACATATATATGCATGCATTTATGAAAACCAAATGAAATGGAAATGCTTTCATTACTTCTAAAGTTTGAAAATATTAAAAAAAAAAACGAGAAAATTTTGAAAGTAAAATATTTTTTACTATTCTGCACTTAGCTAAAATACCAGCAAAACAAACCGATTAATTTTATTGACAATTTTCAAGTGAAAGCAGCATTGAGAGAATACGGAAAAGTATCAAAGAACTTTACAGGAAATTTAAAGTGTTGCAAAATGTGTGACAATGAGAAAAATATTTATCCCCAAAAGGGCTCATAAAATCATCCTTGGTCACATCAAATCTCTTTTTTGTTGGAGAGTGGGCGCAAATCATTGATGTGTCGCTTTTATGCGAATTGTAACGAGGCGATGGGAAAATGCTAGTACTGTGCGCTCCTTCATATTGCCGCTATATTATATGTCACAAAACCCGTCCTGTCCAGTCCATCCTACTTATTGCATGGCTGTGATGTCAGCCTTTAGCCTTACGAGGGCACCCAACAGCTGGGCTGCGGCACCCACCCTTTATTAGAGCCCTAAATACGTTTGCAGTGGTTGTCTTCAAAAGGAGATATCTCATCTCTTTTTCATTGGAAATATTTTTGAGGAGGACTGCCACCTGTTTGACATTTTTAATACACTAGTTAATTAAATCAAATGCAATCTTGAGGGTATTAAACTAAAAAGAAAACTTACTGTGGAACATATTTTTGAGGGCAGCCACCTTTGGATATTCAATTGAAGAAATTAAAAAAGGCTTAGTAATTAATTATTTTTGAAATTGTATTCCACCTCTTTGAAAGTTTTAATTTAAAATATTATATTAATTTCACAAATGAAAACAACAGTATGGTTTTACCAATACAGAGAGAGAGAGAGATTTCAAAGTAGCTTTGAAGAATCTCGCAAACTATTTGAAAACCTCAATGCAGGTGGACCAATGATTTTGCTAGGAAAACATGATTTCGATAATTCTTCCCAAAACTCGTAGAATTAAAAGTAAGTTTTAAGATTTGTTTCCAGCTCTCAAGGAAAGTAAAAACTCAATACAAAAAAATACCCAAGCAAAGCTTAAGAAATTTTCTGGTGTTAAATTTTCTTGAGACATAGATATGCAGCTTCCAAGAAATTTAAAAAGTTCTTTTACTACTTTTATTTTATTTATATTTATTTCAGAAGAAAATTGAGTAGAATCAGGAAGTGAGTTCGTATTTATATTTGCATCTTTTATTTTATTATTTAAATAAATATTTATGGAATGGTACATATAACCCCAACATTGAAGCGTCAAAAACGAGTCGGAAACCAGCTGAAGAAAATCTCTGAGTAAATTTTTATAATAAAATTTTATTTAATCTGATTTTTGTTAAATAAACATTAATTAAAAAAATGTATGTCCTTGCGTTGTATGCATTGTTATTTGAGATTTCATTGGATCCGAAAGCCACTCGCTATCTCCAAAAGCGGGTTTTCTGTTCCCTTTTGTAGTAACTGAAGAGAACCTCCTGAAACTGAGGCCGAGAGGCCACCACAATTGGAAAATTTAACTTATATTTATTTAAATTAATTTTTTTTTTAAACTTTTGGATGTTGATTTTACCAGGATTTGAACCCACCTTCGGTATGACAGTACGCAATGCTAACCACTCTGCTATCGCGGCCGTCATGCATATTTAAAAAAGATATTTTCGCTTTCTCTCTCCGCTTTGTTCGCTCTCTGATCATCCAATTCAGGCTGTATGATTTCTTCCGAATTCATCGCTCTTATGACTGATGCTTTTTTAAAAAGGCAAAGTCAACCATTCCGAGTGAATTTACACATAGAGTAAAAGCTGACGCCAGAAAACATAACAAATTGGTGCTCGACCAAAAGCCTCTTCATCGTTTACAAAGTATCCATTATATAAGTATGTTATAATACAAAGAATTATTTCCAAATGAAAATAGTTAACTAAAAAAAACTTTTACACAAAATTAAATTACGACTTTTTAATATTTTTCCATATTTCTCTTATTAATAACTGATTCTCCCGCAGGAGCATAAGCTTTCACAATATAATTTGTACCCTTTCAAACCATTGCATGACATATGCTATGTCATAAAGTTACTTAAACTGAAATTAAATTATAATAAATCCAACTCTTTCACCAAAAAAAAATACTTATTTTTCAACACAAATAATACTTTTCTACCGATCTTCAAAGCAATATTCATATAATTATTTTCACACATACAACTTTATTAATTTTGTATATTTAAATATTTGTACATATATATGAATATGTTTTTAGAGCATTTCAGCATTTGATGTGACATTGCCGGTGGTGCGTGTTGTTTTTGTAACTTGATGTGCCATTGGGAAAAGCGGTTGATTGCCACAGCCGACAACCTGAAATCCAGAGAACTTTTACATTAAAATAACAATGAAATTATTTTGAAATTAAAAATTCACTTTTTGCGTGAAAGTTAAAATTATTTAATACCTTTCTAAAAGCCTTGCGGAAATTATCAGAGAGAAAGGCATAAAGAATTGGATTTATGCAAGAGTTCATATATGCCAGAACATGGGAGATGATTTGTGAGATGACTGAGGTATGTGTGGCAGGATACCATTCCAATGCCTTCATAACGAGTATTAACTGCAAGAAGAGAGAAGAAATGATATTTACTAATTATTTATACGATTATTTTTAAATATTTCATTTTTTTGCGGTACATAATTTTGAAATCTTTTTATTGAATATTTTACAAATTGTTTTTAGTTTTTTAAAATTAATTTTAGTTTCTTCAGCTGTTTACATTTACTCACATGTATTGGTAGCCAGCATATAGCAAATGCCAAAACAACAACAACAACCATTCGCGTTACTCGCCGTTTACCTTTTCTAAAATGAAAAGCAAAAAAGATTGTATCAGTTGTTTTGGTTGAGATAATGAGAGATGGTTCCATGTATGGCTGGGTTTCAACAATATATGACGAGATCAATGATTCTCTTTAAATTCTCGGGGAAAAAATGTTGTAAGCATTTTGGAGTTTGAAGACAATAACCAAACCGGCGTTTAAGTAGAGTAATGTAAAATATAATGTTTGGTATGTCTCTGGTTTGCCACCTGACCCCACCAATGTCATTTCTCCTTGCGATATCTCACTGAGAGATAACTGCTGAGTACTCATGGAGTTTTTCTTTCTTCCTCTTTTCCTTTCCCTAATGAACACCCTGCCCTGGCAGCTAATTTTTTTTCTCTGAATTATATAGAGTTCCCAGATCGTCTCTCTTGCGCATGACCCTTGTAGTGTACCATTTTTATGGCAGTATTTCGAAATATACATATCTCTTGAATCGACACAATGTGTTTCGGTGGCACCAACGTCTCGTGACCTCTTTCGTTCGATAAACGCCCTTCTCTGGCGACCAATATTTTTTGTCCCATTTGCTGCAGATTTCTCCTTTCAAATTTGGATTTTTCCCCACTGACTTTATGCTATGACGTTTTGTACAAGTTCGGACCTATTGAAATGGGTCTCTCATAACTCGGCTGGTGTTTTTTAATTCCATCGTGGTATAAAGACTCAAAGCCTCATATAACAGCGCCCTTACTACCGGTGGTAGTATCCGGTTGGCTTTGTTGAAATAAAGTCGGTCTTTGACTAGCCGAAAAATATTCTATGGCAAAGGCAGTTTTCGGTTTTAAATTCGTTAAGAGGAACAGAGTAATCTCTGAAATGCCAGCGGCACGCATTTCGATCAAACTTTTCTTTTGGTAAGTACAGACTTTTGAAATGCAAGACAGATACCTTCCGAGTTAGCATTGTATATTGATGAATCTTTTGCCTAAAGTCAAACCTGCGACGACATTCAGGTAATTTAAAAGGTTTCGGATTGATCAAATTAACACGTCATCGAGATATGTTCGAAATAATGAAGTTAAATAAAAGAAAAATGTGCTTACCTAGACTCCTCAGAAGGCTTACAACCCGGTGCAGCTCTCCACAGACGCGCCAACATACCCACATAAAGAAAGCATATCAATGTCAATGGCGCCACGTACGAAGAGATGACAAAAGAAATCTACAACCAAATATAATAAGTAGAAAATAAATAAAATTTACATTTCAAAGCAGCTCACATAACAAAGGAATATTCAATTTTTTGATCTACTCTTAACAGTAACTCAATTTGACATTCAATACAAATGTTGTAACGGTACCAAATCATCATAAGTTATACAAAGCAACAATTCCTTAGATAAATAGTTACCTGAAATCCGATTAAACTCCAGCCCTCCTCTTCGGTGGAGAAAACACATGCTGTGTAACTGCGTCCTTTGAAATAATACAAACGTACCGAATGAGCCAAAGCCACGGGGATGGCTGAGCTGATGATTAGTATCCAAGCGCAGAATATGGCACTGAAATGGTAATTAATGTAATGTACATACATAGTTACCCATATACTTATATAGATGTTTAGGAAATAACTCAAATTTGGTAGTAAATTTATGTAGATAATACGAGGGTGACCATTTAAATTTTTAATTTAAGATATATATAACTCTTTGTAACCGCTTAAGCGATTTCTGCCGAGCTCCTCCTCCAATTTTTGGTTTTGCGTCTTGATGTTTTTCCAGCAAGTGGAGGGACCTACAGTTTATACTAATTTGAAATATCTTTGCTAATAAGGAATTTTTTGTAACCGATTAATTTGTATACAAAAGAGGAGTATGTCTGCTTCGGCAATATGTTGGAAACGGTTGACACGTTATTATAATGGTTGTAAGCTTACAATTTACCTCTCCTCCCGAGGGTCAGCGTCAAGGTGCACACGTGTAGCTTTGAAGAAAAAAGAGTCCATCTTTAATTTTTTCACTTAAATATGGTAACCCTATTTTATATTATAATAGTATATGGAGGGCTAACTAAAATTTCAGATTTTTTTTTGTGTAATTTTTGTTTTCAAATTATAAATTTTATATACATAACAGTAAAGTAGTAAAACAGAAACGATTTCTACTACGACCGAAGTATTTTCAGTAATTTTACTTAATATCTATGGCCACCCTCACTTCAAAGTCCAGTATGCAATGGAAGATATGTACGTGTATGTATGGGAGCGCATATTTCTGATTCTACTCACAGCATTGCATTACGTTCCGTGCGCAATGACATACTCGTCACAGGATGTACGACAGCCAAAAACCGATCGAATGACATCAGCACCAGCGTGTAGACACTGCAATGGCAAGTGACCACAATCATATACTGTACAAATTTACACCACACATTTCCAAATGGCCATGTGGGCAGCACATAGTCGGCAGCGGTGAAAGGCACACAAAAGACGACGAAGAGTATGTCGGATACGGCGAGATTGATTATGAGCAGATTGGTGGTGGAGCGCATTTGTTGATTGGCAACAACCACTAGATAGAGAGAGGGCAATGAAAATAAATTGAAAATACATCAAAAAATATATATATATATATATATGTTTAAAATAAAAAATAAATAAGCTTTTGAGCTTTTTCGCTTTTTTAAAAAACCATAATTAAACTCATTTCCTTACAAAACAATCTGCACAACACAACAAAAGAAAGCGCATCCTCAAAAGGAAGTCGCGCTTTTCCGTTAACAAGAAAATCAGCAAACATAAAAGCAAATGTTCAGAGGGTGGAAAATAAATATCCGTCGCAATTCCAATGTCAATAGATGAACGGGGATGTTAAGATTCAGAAGCAAAAATTACAAAAGTTATAAATATAAACAACAGAAACAAAAATCAATTTTATTTATTTTTTTTATTTTTGGGAACAGGAGAGAAGGCTAGGGCATTGAAATTTGGAAATATTTTCAAATTTTTAAATTTCAGAGTAACAAAAACTTTCGATGAAGAAAATATTAAGACTAACAGAAACATTTTGATGTAGAAATAATTTTAATAAACTGAAAATAATGATAAACAGGAATGTTGGTCAACAGAAAATTTAAGTTAACAGAAAATGTTGGTTAGCAGAAATGGTGGTTAACAGAAAGTTTTGGGGAACATAAAATATTGGTTAACAGATAAAATTGATAAGTAAATAATTTTGATAGACTGAAAATGTTGGTTAACAGAAAATGTTTGTTAACAGAAAATTTTGGGTAACAGAAAATTTTGATTAACAGAAAATGTTTGTTAACATAAAGTTGCGGTTAACGGAAAATGTTGGTAACCAGAAAATGTTGGTTAACAGAAAACTTTTATTAACAGAAAACTTTTATTAACAGAAAATGTTTGTTAACATAAAATTTTGGCGAAAACGTTGGATAACTAGAAATGTTGGTTAGTAGAAAATTTTGGCTAACAGAAAATGTCGGTTAACAGAAAATGTTGGTTAACAGAAAATGTTGGTTACTAGAAAATGTTGATTAACATAAAATGGTGGTTAACAGAAAACGTTGGTTAACAGAAAATGTTGGTTAACACAAAATGTTTGTTAACATAAAATTTTGGTTAACGAAAAATGTTGGCTAACAAAAAACGTTGGATAACTGGATATGTTGGTTAGTAGAAAATTTTGGCTAACCGAAAATGTCGGTAAACATAAAATGTTGGTTAACAGAAAATGTTGGTTACTAGAAAATGTTGATTAACATAAAATGGTGGTTAACAGAAAACGTTGGTTAACTGGAAATGTTGGTTAGTAGAAAATTTTGGCTAACAGAAAATGTCGGTAAACAGAAATTGTTGGTTAACAGAAAATGTTGGTTACTAGAAAATGTTGATTAACATAAAATAGTGGTTAACAGAAAACGTTGGTTAACAGAAAATGTTGGTTAACAGAAAATGTTGGTTAACAGAAAATGTTTGTTAACATAAAATTTTGGTTAACGAAAAATGTTGGCTATCAGAAAACGTTGGATAACTGGAAATGTTGGTAAGTAAAAAATGTTGGTTAACACAAAATGTTGGTTAACAGAAAAGGTTGGTTAACAGAAAATGCTGGTTAACAGAAAATGTTGGTCAACATAAAATGTTGATTAACAGAAAATGCTGGTTAACCAAAAATGTTTGGTTAACAGAAATGTTTGGTTAAACAAAATTTTCTTAAACAAATAATATTGATAAACTGCAAATGTTTATAAACTAAAAAGTTTACTAAGATTAAATTTTATACGAGAATGTTTAAAATCAATAACTGCTTGGATTTTCTGGAATATCATGATAGGTAACACACTACATACATAAACCATATGCGAAATCTTTATATACAAATTTCTCATATCTTGGTATTCTATCCACGTTTATCAAAGCGCATATTGAAGCACGCTTGCAAACCAGAAATATTAACAACAACAAAACTCATTTCCTCAGGCTATACCCGAGAAGTTTCATTTGGATAGTAATGGCGAAATCATGCTGAAAGCATACCAGATTGCATTGGAATTTCACCATCATGTAGTGAGTAATTTTCCTTTGCGGAATTTTGTGCACCCAAAACGAAAGTGCCACAACAACTACACCAAAGTGCAACAAAAGTAACCATCAACTTAATTTACTACTACTCACCAAATATGACTAGTGCATTGCCTAGTAAACCTGCAACACCAATCACACCAAAAAACGCCGGTACAATTGCGGATACAACGCGCTCGAGTGGGTCAAGTTCGAAATCGAGTAGATTATCCGGGGGAAGCGTGTAATTCCCGTCGCCCACAACATCACCAGCTGCTCTCGCAATCAAACTCGCACTCGTACCAATCACATTCACATCCACATTACCCACACTATTTCCGTGGACCGAATTTAAGTTGTTACAATCAACGTCGTCGATGGTGTAGTTATTTCCGCCTAAGTGGGTAGACCCCCAAGTAGGTGGACACAGTACTGGTTGTACAGTTGATGACGTAGGCACTGTGTGGTGGCTACTAAGTATGGATGTAAAATTGTGATTTTGCAACATTTTGTTTTTTGCTTAGTATTTCTTTGGTAGCTTTGTGTTGATGTTTTACTTATTCACTATTGACCTTTCTGTAAGTTTTTTTTTTTATTAAAAATCGTATTAGGGCAACCGTCACTTTTTGCCATCATTATCAGTATTTCATTTTGACCTATATTACAAATATAAATATAAATATAAATATAAATATAAATATAAATATAATACAATATATATAAATATAAATATAAATATAAATATAAATAATATAATATAAATATAAATATAAATATAAATATAAATATAATACAATATATATAAATATATATAAATATAAATATAAATATAAATATAAATATAAATATAAATATAAATATAAATATATATAAATATAAATATAAATATAAATATAAATATAAATATAAATATAAATATAAATATAAATATAAATATAAGGATTTAACGTGTTGCATGGCTTAACGAGAAAAACCCTCATGAAGAGAATTCTCAAATGTGAATCGCACTCGAATCGTCACAAATTCAACGGTAATGGCACCCCAGAAGCTCCAGGAACTTGGTTGAGTGATTCTTATGCATCCATCATATAGAACGGACATTGCACACTGCTATTTGTTCCTGAGTATAGCGAGCCAATTGGATGATGAAGAATTGGAATCAAGAGAAGAGTGTGAAAACCGATTGTCCGAATTAACAAGGATTTCTATGAGAGAGATATAATATTTATTGAGCAAAACTGGCATAGACACCGCTTACGCGATTATAGCCGAGCTAATAACATTGACGTTCATTTCTTCTTTTCAGTGTTTGGCGCCAATTGGAAATATTAAGCATGACCAGGTACTACTCTATCTGGACTTTCCAACGGTGTGTATTTTTTGTTTGTGTATAATTTTTATACAAAAGTTCTCGTGCGATAAAAATAACTTTTCGGTCGCAGTTAGTGAAAAGTCATAAGGAGTATTAAAGTAGTCACTTCAGACAAAGTAGGCACATAGTAGTATTTGGCAACTCTTGGATTCCTGGCGTATCAGTAACTTAAAACAATAAAAAAATGATATATCAGTCGAACTTAACACCGTTTTTTTTTTCACAAAAAAAAATATAAAATTGCAGCGCGAATCATCTCAAAGTTGGGAACGGCCCATTCCTTTAACAGCCGTAACTTAACAACAAATACTTCGGTATTGTGTTTGACAGCGAATTGTTGTGGAAGAGGACGAGTTAAGAGAGTTGGCTGGTAACTAGAGTGCTTCATTTGCTCCGTTTCCCTTTGGGATCTCCTTGCGAGCCTATAATTTTCTATGGTGCTTGAGTATAGTGAAAAGCTAAGGACAAAATAACACGCCTAAAAATATTGAGGAGGGTCCTTAGACTTATGGAATTTTTAGTAAGTTTTGGTTATACACGCTTCTTGAATACTACTCTAAAGCAGGCTTAGACCATAAAGAGTTTTTTCTTAGATTTAAATTTAACAATTTAGCATTTTCTTCCGATTGATTAAATGTTACTCATACGATATGGCGAACCTTTTTATTTTTATGCTAAGTACTCTTATATTTGTTTCTGCAATTTACTCGATACTAAAGGCTGTACGGTCAAAGCCAATAAAAAAAATTATTCAGTAGATCGATTTGCTGCGTAAATTGATGACGCCTGGTGCACAAACCACTTTCATTTCTTTGTTTGCCGAAGTAATTCAAATTAAAAGCAAGCGTTGTTTTATTTTTTTAAATATATTTTCAGCAATTTAAATTTTATATATTTTTAAACAAATTTCAAATGCTTTGTTTTTTTTTTTTTTTTGATTTTATATTTTTTAAGTTTTTTTCTTTATTACTATAAAATCACAAACATAAATTACAAATTATTGTTTCTATGCTTCTAACTCTTTCAAAGTCAAGCTTTGAGAGTTTATCACTTTAGAGCCTTTTTAGCGCGACACGCAACCGTTCACCAAAGCAATCAAAAGCGAATTGAGAAGCCACAAGTGTTTAGGAATATAAAATCCACCTGCTGCATTGCCTATTTGTATATACACACGCATACTTAAGCATGACCTAATGTTTTGCATTTCTAACAAAACAAAAGACATTCCAACAGCACTTAAAGCGGATGTCATTACCTGCATACTTGCGAGTACAGTAAAACATCAATAAGTTGAACCAAGTGGCATAGAAAATAGTACTTTTCTCAATAACATAAACAACAAAAATATACTGATGGCTTCAACATTCCAAATTTCCGAAAACAGTCTGATATATATGATACGCGAAGAAGTTGTTTATTTGCTTTAGAAGCTATAAGTAGAGGTTTTACTGCACGCCTCAATTGTTTATTATCTCTGCAATAAAAGCTGATGTTAATAAGGAAATCGAAAAACCGAAATTCTCAAACATATTTTAATTGTTTTCCATAACGCAGCCGTGGGTTCGCTTTCAACCAGCCTTGGTTTGTTAACGTACAGCGCAACTCAGTAAAATATTGAAAGTAATGCTTTGTGCTTTCCTCTTACTCCACCACATATAAATATTTCTACGTTTATAATGCACGTCAGTATAAAATTACCTTGAGGCAATATGCCAATCAAAGATCGAAATGAAAGAGAAAGGAAAACTCTTCACATTTAATTTGCTGAATTGCTTAGTTAACTGAGCAAAGAGAGCTTTAGAGGTAGGACAATGTAATTGTGTTGTATTATTAAATTACCAATGCAGGATTCTCTGAGAAATTGTGCATATGTGTAAGTATTTATAAAGCAAATTAATTGGAGACAATAAAGGAAAATAAAATAATGAAAATTGTTGCTGTGAGAAATGGAAACTTATCTGACGGGAAAAAAATCAAAACGAATTTAAATAAAAAAAAAAATAAAAATAAATTAAAATGTAATAAAATAAATTAAAACAAAGTGTAATGAAAGTAAGACAAAAATAAAATAAAATTAAACAAAATAATTTTGGCTAAAACAAGGTACTCATTCTAATTGCTCATTATTTTACAGCCTTCCTTCAAAAATGAAATTCAAGTAGTCTCCATAAAGTAGTACCAAATACTAGTGTTCCCTATAAGTTTCATCCCATTCAATGCCTATGTACTCCCTAAAAGCTATTAGCGTCTTGTATAGTATCAAAAATATATGCATATATTAAGCGCCATTTGAGCTAACGAGCAAGAGGTACACAGATAGGTAGATAAAGAATGCAAAGAACTGCTCGTAATAGATTCCATCAAAATACTTATACTGCTTACATAGATTAACTGGTAACTCCATATTTAATTCATAAAAATGGCCACATAAAATTAGCTTCGATACCTATCAAACGAGGATATTTCAAAAAGATGTTGTGAATCTATTGTGATTTTGTCTGGCTTAAACCCATTTTCCTCTATATTAAATGAAACAAAAGGCCTTAACATAACCCTTTTCACCTACTACAAGGGGCGGGAGAGAAGTTCGCAACCAAAGGTAGTTGGAGATGACACATAATTGGAAAAAATTACTGAACAATCTCTTATTAGGCTCATAAACATTTAGTTCTTGCAACAAGCAAAAACACTATGTCTGGGGAAATTCACAATTCTCGCAATCCGGATCTCCGCGCTGTGATTAATTTCTTTCTTCATATATGTTGCTGAAAAATGGGCTCGGCTGTTTCAACAAAGAAAAGAGAGATTGACAGTCGTGAACGAAAAAATGTTCAGAAAGTCGAAAAATTAGTATAGAATAAAAAATAAAAGAAAATAAAATAAATAATATAATTAGTCGACTAAGCAGAGTAATTTGCATACCGACAAGCGTTCAAAAATTATAGGAAATTCATTTAAATGAAAAATTTAGTTAACCAATCTGAATGTATTTCTGACATGGAAATCAAAAGCTTCTCATAAAGAAACCATCGGCTGTTCGGAGGCGGCTTAGTATAAACATTTATTGGAAAAACATCAAGAGGCATACCAGTCATACGATTGGAACCTGGTAACGTCTTATTGATGCAGATGCCGAAATACTGGAATTATTGCAGAAGCCGTCAATGAGTAGACGAAGAAGAAGAGGCTCAAGCACATCTTCTATGCAAATAAAAGTCGTATAGGAAAAGATACGCTGCTACCGGTTACGGTTTTCTTGACCATGACCGTGGGTTGATTCCGGGAAGACATGGCAGTATGAGGGGATTAAAGTCTCAGTAGATTCAGAATATATCCCCTGAAGGTATATATGCAGCGTCAAGCATGCACTGTAGAAGCTAAGTAAAATAAGTTAAAATAAAATCAAATATAATAATATAAATAATAGAATAATAAAATAATATAATAATAAATACATTAAAATAAAAATAAAAATAAAAAAAGCTCTAATTAAAGTAAACTAAGGAAAAATAAAATGGAATAAATAAAGTGATATAAAAAATTAAAGATATAAACTACATTAAAAGGAGTAAGAATATATATTTATAAAAGAAATATGACAGTAGATCCATAAATAAAACTGACGCACATGAAATCAATTTGCTAGAATAATTTCATTTACAAATGCTTTGTTTTCCTATGTTTGTTTGTTGCGATATCGATTGGCCTTTGCTTTACGTAGGCAGATGAGTTGTTATAAATAAAAATTGTGCTAGCCCACTTTTCGCATAAATTTCCAGTTTGATAACAACACTGATTGGTTTAAAAATAAAATACTATTTAAAAACAGCTAGCGATCGCAATTAAATAATATTATACATTTATATATTATTTTACTATTATATGATTTCCGAATGTGGGACGACGGTGCTAGAAAAGCAACGATATCCTTTCGTATCGCTGAGAAGAAAAATTAACTCAGCGAAATGAAAGCGTTTCGTTTCGACGCCATGTTTTCAAAACGAAATAAAAACGTTCATGTTAAAACCGTATAAACTTACCGTTTACGCTCATTTCAAAATCACTGCTTGCTTTGATTTAACAGCACACTTTAATATTAACGCTCAATATTATCTGTTAACGATTTAAGGGGCACAACTAGTGTGAGATTTCAAAAAAAAATCAATGTTTTTTTCATATTTCGTTAGATTACACCTTTGAAAATAACATATCGATATCGATATCTCAAATAGTTTTTGAGTTATGGCAATTTGAAGAGCACCTAGAGAGTCTCATTAGCCACGA